CCGATTGACGAGTGGCAAGAAAAAAACTATTTTTACTATTTGACCACCGAGACCGGTGATTTGGTTGTATTTGATTGCGGAAAACTGAAATTTTCGTTTTCATATGTTTTCATTCAGACGATTGTCCTGTTCCGTCCTGTGTCGAAAACGAGTTGGCAGATAGTGCTACTGAGTTGCGTGCACTGTATCGGGCTCAGTACCGTCGGCTCGGTGATACTTCACAGATTGCCGCAACTAGTGGTTCTACCTTATATCCAAGCTCGTCGGAAGTGGCCATCGCACATCGTCTGGTCGGACGTCTTGTTGATTTGACCAAGCGTGCTAGGCCCCGGGATCTGGTTCATCCATATGCATTACGTCGAGCCATGGGCATGAAACCCGATATGTACGCACTTCCGGATGAGTTGGATAATGATGGGGATTTGGAAATATACCCGCGAAAAACAAATGTTTTGACGCAATAACGATTTATCCACTCACTATTTTGTCATTTTCGTCCGTTTTCACCCCCCACTCACTACCTGTTGTGTTTATCTCTACCACAAACTTCGCGGTCGTTCAATCGACTTACTTTTTGATGTAGACAGTTTCTGTACAGAATAATGTATGTTGCAGTTTCCTGTTTTATTATCCTTATTGCATTTTCCGCAACCACTGAAATATATTCCGTATATCATGTTTTTTTAATGCTGCAGTCTAATTTTTTTTCACTCCGCATTCTCATGGAACACTGCGATTCTTGATCAGCACTAACTGGTGAATCATACTAATTAAAGGTATCCTGGAAGCATCCAGTTTACGATATCTGGTAACGATAATGTAACCGATGTTAGCAATTGTTCAGTATGGACTTCTTCTTGTCGAGCTCAAAATGTACACTCGTTCTGCTACCCTAATCTGTGGGTATATATAAGCTGCTGCTACTGCTGCTGTTGCAGTCTTGAATAGAAGTAACCTGACGATTAGGATTTGGCTAGGTCTTACTTTCTACTGGTGTTATGAACATTAGAGATGAACGGTCCAGGAACCTGAGCTGGGAATTTCAGATAACCACTTCAGAAGTTAGATCAGACGGAGTCGCTCATGTACGAATACTTAACACAATGTCGTTGTTGTAATTAATAAGCGGAGATTTCAAAGTATCAGGCGTGACGGATAACACATAAACGGAAGATAAACAGATCGACAGAATATTCTCTTACATGACGTGCTGTTAATGAAAGCATTATTAAGGAGGTCTGACCATGACGACTTGTTCATAGTGAAGTTGGAATGTCTTTTGCAACCAGAACGTGCATTCATTTTTCCTGCTTATACGATTGAGTGTATCGTTATCATCATACCGTCCAGCATGATTGCCGACGCAGTTAAGTTTGCCGCGGAGTTTGGTGGTGGGACGGGGGAGGGAATTAATGTCGTTCGAGGTGCTTCAATCGCGTATTCGTTACAACGATATGGAACCTGGTGAGGATCACTCTTAGTCAGTATATTAAGTGATTTTACACTCCACCGGCATATCTCATGTGCATGTTTACTTTGGTCACTAAACCATTTTAAGATAGATTTGAGAAACTATAATTTTCATTTACCAGACCGTCATTTCGAATTGAGAAACCATCACAGAATTGAAAAAGAAACGCTGTGGTTGGATCCGCTTCCGTTCAGCGCATCTCATTGGTCAATTGATCATACAGTTTTTCTACCCCCGGATTGACCACCTGTCTTCTCACGCTCTTTCTGTGTTGAAATGAGGCGGACCTCAGTCGTGCATCTTTTCGAGCTCTGCGACGGACGTCGAATCGGTGGGTCGCTGAAGCCATGCAGGACACCACTCGATACGCATGAAGGGTGACGCACTGTTTCGTGCCCACTACAGCTCTACCATTGACGATAGCTCAATAATCAAAGCTGTAACAGTAACAGTAACAGTAACAGTAACTACGACCAGGGGCGAGTTTTGGCCTTACGGTGCAATCCGAGCGATGTACGAGAATCACGGGTCTATTTGAAT